GTCGCTGTACTACGGAGTGACCACCGTGTCAAAGACGGCCGATACGATCTCCAAATCGTCACCATTTGCTGGTGGCGAAGTTCCTGACCAGGAATGTGCCATCGAGGTGGAGGTTGACCCGACGTTGCCGGACATCACCACCATCTCGACGGTGCCGGTGACTTACCCGGAGCTGCTTGCCAACTTGACTACGCCCCCTACCGAGCCGGTGCACACCAAGGTGGGCACTGTTGTGCTCTCGGCGGAGACTCCCGAACACTGATGCCGATCAAGATGCGTACATCACCTCAGGCTCGCCGACCCAGGGCTCGACGGAGGTGAACCCGCCGGCTACCAAGACGGGCACTTCGAACGTCACCGCTGCTCCGTCCAAGACTGGTACCACCACTGATACCACGACGCCGTCAACTGTCAAGGGTGGAGCTAAGCCCAAGGACTGCGCCACTGGGTGGGAGGAGCCGGCAACGGCCACCCGTAAGCTGCGCGACAGCGTTGTATCGGGCCACGACCTCGAGGAGAAGCTCGAGAAGAAGCGCCGTCTTGAAGCCTACGCGAACAAGGACATCGCTAAGCTGGAGGCCTACTTTGGCACCAAGATGGAGATGACGTTGAAGGACTTGCCTACCCAGGGTGTGTTCACGCCTGCGCCGTGGCCTGCTCCGTACTGGCCGACCTACCAGGACAGCATCAACGTTGTCTGGAGCCAGGGACAACCCAGTCCCGCTGAGAAGTACGCCAAGGCTTTCGGTCTGGACGTGAAGGAATTCATGGACAAGGTGTCCAAGGACAACGGAGTTGACTCGGGGAGCAAGCGCACCAAGTGCTCGTCGGACAACGACTGCGCCTCTCGCACTGATGGCAGCAAGTGTGCTATCCGTGAGGGTAAGAGCTCCGGTTACTGCATCCCCACGTGGTTCGGAATTTGCCACGCTTGGGCCCCGGCTGCGATCATTGAGGAAGAGCCGAAGTGCCCGGTGACGCACAACGGTGTGACCTTCCAGCCTCTGGACATCAAGGGATTGATCTCCGATGTCTACGATGGCGCCAAGGTCTCGACTGTGTTCACCGGTGCTCGCTACAACGGCGGTGACGACGGCACGGACGAGTACGGCCGCCACACCAACGATGCCTACCGTGACTTGAATCCTGCCTACTTCCACATTGCCGCTGCCAACCTTCTCGGCAAGCTCAAGCATTCATTTGTCGCTGATGTGACGGCCGGCGCTGAGGTGTGGAACCAGCCCGTGCGAGGGTTCAAGGTGTACGAGCAGACCGCTATGTCGCTCGAGGAAGCTGCTCAGACCTTCTACGGCCTTGAGGAGTACCCGTGGAACGCCGCCGCCAAGAGCATCGTGTACGTGAAGTCGCGTCTCTCGTGGATCTTCGAGACGTACACGGACGGCGGCCTTGTGTCCTCGGGTGAGGTTGATCGCTACACGACCGGCAAGTACTACTACTACTTGCTCGAGCTAGACGACGCTGGCGAGATCATCGGCGGTGAATGGGTCTACAGCTCGGACAGTGACCACCCTGACTTCCTCTGGTTTGCGAAGTCCAAGCCTGCTGCTGACATGGTGACCAGCATTGGACTGAGCTACGCGGATGTGAGTATGCTTCTAAAGAAGTCGGTCGCTTGCTCCGACTCCGCTTCGGCTTCTGGATCGGCTGGCTCGTCGGCTTCGGCTTCTGCTTCTGCGGCAACCTCGACCTCGGGATCGGTTGGTGCTTCGACTTCCGGCTCAGCCACGAGCTCTGCCTCAACTTCGACGGGATCGACGACGGACGTGCCTTTCACGAGTTCGACCGCTTCGAGCGGGGGTAGCGCAGCTACGGAGGTCCCGGCTACTGAGGCCCCTGCTACCGAGACCCCGGTCGCTACTACGCAGAACGGTGGCGCGACTATGGCTCCGGCCTCGACCACGGCGCCCCCCGCCGCGACTACAGCTACCCCGTCGAACAATGGCGGCAATCAGGGTGGCAACAACGGTGGCAACAACAACCAGAACGATAACCACTACCAGCAATACCAGCAGCAGCAGCAACAGCAGCAGCAGCAGTTCGAAAACAGCGATCACCCGCGTCAATGGTACCAGTCCTTCTTCCACTGGTGGTAAGTGGAGTTGCTGCAGGAGTGCCGTAAGTGATATTCAGTGAGATAGAGTCACTTGTATTTGTGATGGTGTGAACACCGAGCTGTTAGCGCGTTACGGGTTCAGTCTCAATGAAAGTTACCATTGCATGGCCAACTTCCTGCTATCAAGTGTTAAGTAGCTACCATGTATTAACTTTTGTACCGTAGTGATGAGCAATACCGGTAATCATGCATATTCACCGAGTTGCACCTTAATCAATGCGTCAAGACCATGATCTCGGCCACATCGACTTCCTTCAACTCAGATGAGGGCTGCTGTTTTACTGCAGTGCTACAGCTGCATGGCATTCTGCGCAGACTTCACCGCCGGTGACTTCACTCTCTACCCTTAATGATCGACCATCAAAGTGCAGCGCGATCTTGACCGGTCGAAATGGGCATTTACTGGGCGGACTGAGCCAGATCGTTGAAGGTGGCGGGATCCGGAGAGCGTTCACTGAACGCTGAGCGGTTCAGCGCCCAGTACGAAAAACAGACATGCAGGCGCTGGTACTACATATGTACCAGCCTGGTGGGCCAGCATGCAGCGCAGTCACAACTGCTGGATGAGTATCAAGTGGCGACATTACCCTCGGGCCCAGAGGTCAGGAATTACGTGCCTCTTTCAAATATTTGCCTAAACAGCTTTTCAGGCTTGCAGCGTTGTGTAAAGTTGATGTACGGCACAGGCATTATTGCTCAGCTCCAAAAATGGAACAAAGCTTCAAACAAAAAGAGTTTTATGGTGGGTACATGGATACCGGTACGTAAAATAAGATTAGAAATAATACTGGAACATGTGCATTACATGAATTTTGAAACATAAGTACCGGTAAATAAAATTCTAAACTTAAAGCTTTAAGTATCCAGGTAGTTACTACCGGTTTAATAAAAGTAAATACATGAATTAATAGCATCTCGCTCGATTTTTAAGTATATTTGAGGATCAGCTCCATTTTACATGGACTGTACCGATAGCTTGTCTATGTGTTTTAATCGTTCATTGACTCTTCGCACATCTGGAAAATACCGGTTTTAAAAGTAGCTCTGCCTCTGATGGTACACCAGATCACTTCATGCAGCATGAAGCATGGATCGTGAAGTACAGACTACTAGTAAAATACTACTAGTAGTACTTGGAATTCATTCCAGAGGTCTGGTTAAACGGAGTTGGGAAAGGAGCTGAGAAGCTGCTACTGAGAAAATAGGTGAGACTCTAGTAGATCAGATCGTTGTATGAGAACGGGGTGAACCCGTGAGTGTTGTTAGGAGCTCTGGTGGAGCACAACGCTTAAATAATTCAGTCTTCTTTTTCATTGCAAGTGTGAAAGTGCACGGAACCAAGTTCCAATAGGGGTTATTGAGCCCAAGTGACGCCACTTTGCTCGGTTAGTGACGATGACTATACCGATGAAGTACACAAGCGATGGAGTGCCGAAAAACTGGAGCGGCAAGGGATTGGCAGACGTATAAATGGGCGCTGTTGAACGTCTTCAAGGAACAAGACCTGAAGGACATTGCCACTGGTACGATGACTAAGGCGATGATCGAAACTGCAAGTGCAGAGAAGAAGGACGAGTTCGAGAAGAAGCAACTGAAAATCATGCGCATGATTGGTACATCGGTACCGGCAGACGTCCTGCAACAACTACGCGATAAGGAGACTGGATCGGAGATGTGGACTGAGCTTTGTAACCTGTATGAAGGGAAACAAAGTGAAGCAATTAAGGCCTACACGATCCGTCGCGTGGAGAATGAGCTTTGGAACACGAAACTCGTACCTGGAGGAGATGCACATCTTCATCTTTGCAAGATGTTCAACCTTAAGATCGAGCTTGGCGATCTGAGTCACACTGTAGCAGATAACACGATGGTGGATATGCTACTTGAGAGTTTACCAGATCAAATCGAATTTGAGCGTTTGAAGTCTTCCATTTACTATGGCGCAGACCCTAGTGTGTACACACCAAAGAGGGTTCGAGAGTTAATTCTTGCAGCGGCCGCTCGGCAAAAGGAGTTCAGAAGCAAACGCAGCGAGAAGAAAGGAGGCCAAAGAGGAGGACAAAGCAAAAGTGGTGATCAGGACCGAGTGCGTTCACAGCAAGGGAAGACCGGCGGGTCTAAAAAGACGCGTCGATGCTTTGTGTGGGGGAGCGAAGACCACATTCGTGTCGATTGCCCAGAAAAGGTCAAGAAGCAAGGCGGAGCAGGCGAGACCGAACAGAAACGCAAACCTCGTGGAAACTGCACGCTACGACATGAGATAAGAGTTCCTTTGAGTCGGACGACCAACAACTTGGATGAGGGAGTGGTGGCTGGAATCAGAGAGCCACGAGATACTCTCAGTGACCAAGAAGAAACACACGAAGTGGGAGAGCCCATGAACGATCATATTACTGAAGTAATTGAGGATCATGAGGACAACGTCCTAGCAGTTGATCATGTACGTCATGGTGAATCGGTTGCTGATCATGGAGCCGAAACCGTTGCAGTTCATCTACAAGACAGTGATCAAGCTGCTGTGAAGTCAAGTGGTAACTGGTGGTACTTTGATACGGCTTCAAATTCGCATGTGACAGGGAACTTTTCTGAGTTTGTGTCTTATACTGAGGGTACGAATAGTGTGCAAAGTATTCGTGGAGTAACACCCGCAATTGCGTCACGCATTGCTGGCGTGGGAACAGTTGCATTAACCACCGAAGTCGATGGAGAACAAGCTGTGACTTACGTTGAGGACGTGTTTTACATCCCTGGCGCAGAGTATGGTTTGTTCTCGCCTGGGCTTGCGATTGGGCAAGGTTTTGACTTTCACTATGACACTACAACACGGACCTTTCCAGTCTCTCGAAAAGGGAGAGTAGTGGCTATGGCCACTCCTCAAGATGCAACTTGGGGAGTCCAAGCAGCAGATCCGTCTCAAAGAGCAATTGTGCGAGCGAATGAAGGTCCTTTGTGTAATTACACAATGGCCGATGGAGTTGGGTCTTTGGCGCTTTGGCACGAGCGACTGTGTCATACATGTCCTCAGTATCTCAAGACAATGGTCGACAAAGGATTAGTGTGTGGCATGTTGCTGACTCAACGTCAACAAGACACATGCGATGCGTGTCATCTCGGTAAGCAGAAGAAAAAGGCACATCGCAAACAGTTGGATCGGGAAATTAAGAACCTACGGAAAATGTGACGGGGTCACACAGCACCTTGCGCTAGAGAAAGTTAGCTTCCGAGACTTTACAAACTCTCCGTTAACGGCAGCTCACAGGTCCCATCTTTATCAAAAGAGAGCGAAGTGACATAAATAAGGTAGATTGTAAACTGAGTATATTTAAAGGTAGGTTAAGTTTGGGTTTAATACAAGCTATAAGCTACCTATAGAAATGCAATGTCGTTTGACCAATAGTTGGCTTTGAACGCCCTTGGTATTTTGTACCAAATATCCCGGAGTATGACGTGTCATACACCTGAAGTGTGAAGTGTCATACTTCATGTAATCAGGGTACACTTAGGGCTACGTACCCCGTTCCATCCTCCCCCACTTAGGTTAGGTTTACCGTAAATC